GTGGGGGTTGCACACCAGTCAACTAGATTAACTAGGTTTATCAGTTAATCGTACGGTTGTCTGCTCATTCACATTTACACAGCAGGCTCCACAGCAATGGGAATGTTGCTTTTGCTGAGATCTAACCTAGTCAGTAGACTGTGAAACCTTCCCTTTAAATGACCAGAAAGCACATTCTGCACTTGCTTCAGCCTATAGTTGAACTGCTTCTTACTGCGGTCCAGGCTGCTTGTGTACAGCTGCATGAGCCACTGCACCAAGGAGTAGCCTGGGTCTCCATGGATCACTTTTGGCATTTGAATGCTTCTAATGGTAGTTTTCTGGTCTGGGAAGAAAGTTCCATATTGCAGCACAGGATCTTTCAAAAAAGCACCTCGTTGTCGGAAAAACCACGTTTAAACCGCGGTTTCAGTTTCGAAATGGCGCTTGTTTGAAACAGTGCCATGATGCGGTTATGCAAATGAAGGGATATTTCAATCCCTGCTTCATTTGCACTTTCGAAGTGCTTCATTTACATCCCTCTGCTGACAGAGGGGTGTAGTTTCGACACAGCCATAGAGATTAGGGATGTAAAAAGGTAACAGTGTAACTGTTAAAAATCTTAGTTACGTTGCAGTCGCTGCAATATTTATTTAAACTGTGAAGACAGAGGCAAAGAAAGCATTGAGTACTTCAGCTTTTCCCACATCCCTTACTGGATGTGGGAAAAGCTGAAGTACTCAATGCTTTCTTTGCCTCTGTCTTCACGGACAAGGTCAGCTCCCAGACAAATGCACTAGGCAACACAGTATGGGAAGGAGGTGGACAGCCCTTGGGGGGGAAAGAACAGGTTAGGAACTATTTAGAAAAGCTAGGCAAACACAAATCCATGGTTTTAATGCATCTGAGGAAACTGAGGGAGTTGGCAAACATCATTGCGGAACCTTTGGTCATTATCTTTGAAAACTCTTGGAGATTGGGAAAGATCCCGGATGATTGGAAAAAGGTAAATGTAGTATCTATCTTTAAAAAAGGGAAGAAAGACAATCCAGGGAACTACAGACCCATCAGCCTTACCTCAGTCCCTGGAAAAATCATGGAGGGGATCCTCAAGGAATTCATTTTGAAGCACTTAGAAGAGGGGAAAGTGATCAGGAATAATCAGCCTGGATTCACAAAGGGCAAGTCGTGCCTGACCAATCTGATTAGCTTCTATAATGAGGTATCTGGCTCTGTGGATATGGGAAAGTCAGTGGATGTGATATACCTGGACTTTAGCAAAGTTTTGATATGGTCCCCCACAATATTCTCGCAAGCAAGTTTAGGGAATATGGATTGGATAAATAGACTGTAAAATGGATAGAAAGCTGGCTAGACTGTCAGGGCCAATGCGTAGTGACCAACGGCTCAATGTCAGGTTGGCGGTCGGTTTCTAGTGGCGTGCCCCAAAGATCTGTTCTAGAACCGGTTTTGTTCAACATCTTTATTAATGACCTGGATGAGGGGATGGTTTGCACCTTCAGCAAGTTCGCAGATGACACTAAGCTAGGGGAAGAGGTAGGTATGCTGCAACACAGAGATAGGGTCCAGAGTGACCTGGACAGATTAGAAATCTTGAGGTTCAACACGGACAAATGTAGAGTCCTGCACTTGGGACCAAAGAATCCCAAGCATTGTTACAGGCTAGGGACCCAATGGCTAAGTAGCAATTCTGCAGAAAAGGACCTGGGGATTACAGTGGATGAGAAGCTGGATATGAACCAACAGTGTGCCCTTGTAGCCAAGAAAGCTAATGGCATATTGGGGTGCGTTAGGAGGAGCATTGCCAGCAGATCCAGAGAAGTGATTATTCCCTTTTATTCGGCTCTGGTGAGGCCACATCTAGAATACCGTGTCCAGTTCTAGACCGCCTCCCACTAAAGAAAGGATGTGGACGCATTGGAGAGGGTCCAGCGTAGGGCGACCAAAATGATTAGGGGACTGGAGCGCATGACCTATGAGGAGAGACTGAAGGATTTAGGCTTGTTTAGTCTGCAGAAGAGAAGAGTGAGGAGGGATTTGATAGCAGCCTTCAATTTCCTGAAGGGATGTTCCAAAGAGGATAGAGAGAGGCTATTCACAGTAGTGAGGGATGGCAAAACAAGGAGCAATGGTGTCAAGTTACAGTGGGGAAGGTCTAGGTTGGATATTAGGAAAAACTATTTCATTAGGAGGGTGGGGAAGCACTGGAATGGGTTACCTAGGGAAGTAGTGGAGTCTCCATCCCTAGAGGTTTTTAAGTCTTGGCTTGACAAAGCCCTGGCTGGGTTGATTTAGTTGGGATTGGTCCTGCCTTGGGCACGGGGCTGGACTTGATGACCTTCTAAGGTCTCTTCCAGCTCTGTGATTCTATGGTTCTATTATTTGGATTTAACCATTTCAAATTTAGGATGACTCTCCTTTTACCTTCTCAGGGACAACAAAGTAAACACCATTGAGGCTTCATTGAGGAATGAAAAAAGCGCATGCTTTGCTAACTCAGGAGATTGACTTCAAACTTGTTTCAGAATTACAGAACAAGTGACACCCCAACTCCGTGTAAACTGGATCTCATGCATAATATTATCAACTTTTAATACTGAATGATAGAACATTTTATTAAACAATTTGTTAAAATAGTCAACTTTGTGTGTGTGTGTGTGTGTGTGTATTACACACATACACATGCATGTTAAAAGTTATCTAACATGAATACATACATCAGAATATACTAACGTGCTTATTTTTGACTTGACTATGTACAGTGAAATTAGACCATTCTTGCCACTAACATTCAGTTATACTGGAAATAACAGGACTGAATCAAGTATTATAACATTATACTGTATTCTTCAGAAATAATTTATTTTTTCAATTTTTATTTAGTTTATTATTAAGTTTATTTTATTAGTTAGTTTATTTTTCTAAAAAAAAGCTTAGCAGCTGAAGAGACTTAAATTACTGAACATATTAATTAGCCTGTTTCTTTGATCTCTGATGGCTATGAAAAAAAAATTCTCTCAAGTAAAACCAGTTTTGGCAACAAAAATCTAAACCTGTTCAGGTGGCACACAGTAGTCAATGCTCCTAGTTGTTCTTTTATCTCATTATTCCAAATGCACTGATGGTACCAATAATGGGAGTATTAATGTAAATTTGTTCTTGGCCTTTTAATCAGTCATAGCTAATCCTGCTACATGGAGTCATACTAGTGAGAGATTAACTACATAGTGCAGTCAAGGCCACTGATATTATTGTAGGCCAGGGCTACTCAGTTTGGAAGCCCCGAGGACCACAGTGATACTCACAGCACATGCCGAGGGCTGCAACTTAAGTGTGGGTGCAAATATATGCAAATAGCTTTTCACACTGACAGACATGAATACAAATATTAAGGTAAGACTACGCAAGACGCAGGCCCCATTTAAGTCAGTTCTGCTGATATTAATAAAATGCAATATTTACCCGATTTCCATCCATGTGACAGCACTTTTAATGAGCAATGATAATCCGGGAATTTAACTACTAAAACTCGTATCAAAAGACCAACATTATATTGACTCGCTGTTGTGCAGCGTGTCCCCAGTGGAGGCCATGTTCAAAGGATCCCACCCACAGGTTGCATGTTGAGCCCCACGTAAACCCAAACCACGCTGCGGTCTGCAAACAAACATGGCCGCGTGTTGAGTAGCCCTGTTGTAGGCAGTGCCTAACTGCTGCTGTCTGGCACTTTGAAAGGTAGTTTTTGGAACCTTGCAGGTGCCCGCTTTTTTTTCTTTTTAAGGAAGATTGTAGACTTTGCTGTGTCTCTTTAATAAAATCTACCAACATTCTCTTTTAGGCTGCTACAAGATTACCACAGTGTTCAGCCATGCTCAGACAGTGGTTCTGTGCGTTGGGTGCTCAACTGTGTTGTGCCAGCCTACTGGAGGAAAGGCTAGGCTTACAGAAGGTACGAGGTTTTTTTGATAGATAATCCAGATTTGTTCATTAATATGCCTGCAAAGTGCTAAAGGTTTCATTTTCTCTGTGGCTTAAAAACCGAAGAATAAAAACGAACAACATTTTTCAAATCCCTCAGAAGTGAGCGTGTATTTGAAAAATTGTTTTTTTTGTAGTTAGGAACTGGATTACAGCTGTATGAATGATGCTTTTTTTTATTATATAAGGGCTGTGTAACTAAACCAGTATTCATCAAGTATAAACATCCTGAACAGGCTTTAATTATTCCCTATGCTTTGAGTTGTAATTCCTTCTAGATTAACAGTAATGTAAAGCATATAGCCAAAGCTTATAGTGTGGTTCATTTACTTCTGAGCCTAAAAGATATGAGGTTTAAGTCACAGGTTCACTTTTATGCTCCAGGGTACTGCTGTCAGATTAAAATAGTCTCTGTGTGCCCTCTCTACCACCATAGTATTAGCAAGATTCCTTGAATAACATTCCCTGTAATTAAAATTTGTGTTTGTCAAACTATCGTGGAGTAAATCAGGGGTTCCCAAACTTTTTGACATGGAGACCAGTAAATCCATTCACGAGCTTTTGGAGGACCGGTAACATTCATTTGCATATTCATTAAGCAAATGACAAATATGCAAATACACTGTTTTTGGTCCTCCCAAAGCCCCCGGGGCCAGCTTTAGCGAAGCTTTTGATACGGCCACCCACAACATTCTTACCAGCAAGTTAAGGGAATATGGATTGGAAAAATGGACTGCAATCCAATAAAACCCTGAACCGCCACATCGTGTATTGAAAAGGGGCTCATTTATTTTCAGAAAGCCAACACCATCTTTGGAATCTTTTATCCATATTCTCATTCCGGATGGTGAATGCACCAGGTTCTCTCCATTCCGACCCATTGTAGTGCCTTTACACCTCACTATCAGCAGTGGGGATATTTAAAAGGCACTGCTTTTACATTTTTATTCAGGACCTGCGTATGCCCTGAACTGTCCCGCTCCCCGCTGGCCAATTCCCCCCTCCCTGTCCACCCCCTGCCCTGGGCCAGCCCTGCTGTCTCTGCCAGACGATTCTCTCCCAATTTGCTCCTGGCAAGTCCTCCTGCCCCCGACAGCCCTGCTTCTGCTGGCCGGTTCGCCCGCCAGCCCT